CGTGACCCCATGAACCATATTGCGCCAGGCCTTCCTGTCCTTCACTGCCTCCCTGAGTTTGCTCAGTTTCATGCTCATAAAACATATAGTACTGAAAAACAAAGTATTTTAAAAAAAATGCATTCACTTTTATATAATCCTGAGTATATTGTAACTCGGTGCACTATATGTTCATCGTTGTTGGTGGGACGCTGGCAATATATGTTTGTTTGCAAAGTGGTCTCTGGATAAGAGATCTTAGCTTGCATAGAATACAGTAAGTATGCTTGGAAGATAATAGGGAGAAGATGGGTGGCACTTGTGACATCCAGGCCAAAGTGTGCCCAAACTTACCTATGATGTCCTTGCTGATTCCATGAAATGCAACAGGCATGACCAAGGCTGGTAACCTAGTCTATACTTTCTCTACATTATTATAAAGCATTATGTGAAAACCTCAATTGCCCAGTTATAATGGGCACTAGAGGTCAACATCTATGAGTTCATCTGATGATGACTATGGCATGTGAAAGATTGAGACTTAGATGTAAGAGGAGTAAATGGTAAATAGTATGAATTAACAAATTAAATGAACAAAAAATAGATATGTTGTATATCTGTGAAACTAGCCTGAAATAGATTGTTTAAACCTACATGCTTAAATCTGAATAAATTACTATATTTCTTTGAAAATCTTGACATCCAAACATTTTATTCTTCTAATACTTAAATGTCTGCTTTCTTCATACCATGGGATGATTCAGATTTAAGCAATCTCTACACATATTGATTGTCTGAGTGGCCAAATGTATTCTAGTAAATACATATCATGAGAATAATTTTATTTAATATTCTATTTCATGGAGTTCTTTGTATGAGTATGGGAAATATATATGCATTTCTTTGGATAAGTGTTTGTTTCGCTGGGGTTACATTGAAAGGAAAATTAATGGAATTCTGTGTGCAAACAATTCATGCTTTTCCCTCCATAAGATATACAGAATATTATTTATTATGTAATTGGTTTTATCCCAGCTTTTGACATACAATAGGACACACCCTCAAAAAACTGATACGATAAAATTTAACAGGATGTGCTTATTAAGTTTCATTAATGGCTAATGCTACATCTAGATGGCTGATGTTAGCAAACATGAATAACAATTTCAAAGAATGATTTTATGATTCTTATTTTCTTCAACTTATGAAAAATCATGCTTAATTATTTAGGGCGTATATTCTGTAATTAGAAATCTGTATTTGGTTAATGTTATGATTTGCATACCTTCTTTTATCTCCAAGCATACCATTCACTTGGTTAAGAAACTTCCTGCAGTCCTATTTAAAGAGAAAAGTAGTATAAATACTTTGATAATTTTCCTGTTTTGAAAGAACCAGTATTTGAATTTGACTTACTGTTTCAAACTCAGAATCTTTAATTTGTTTAAATGCATTGCTAACAAAATCCATCGGAAACCACTGGATTGCCAGTTCTCCTCTTTGTTTTTCTGATGTCATTCTGCATAATGCTTCAGTGATTGCAACTTGGAGATCATAGTCTATAACATATATATATATATATGACAGGAACATTACCATAAAGCCTTTTTATAGAGTTTAAATATTACTACCTGCCAGTTAATTATATACATAATATATCTGCACACACACACCAACAATACATATAATTTGTTACATAATCTGAAGTACTCAGTGTAGTATCCATGCGTATGAATGTACCTGTGGACACCTTTCAACACCCACAAGAATCTCTGCCCTACATGCATTTTGGGAAGGATTCTTTTACTTCTAACAAAATGGGAAGCTGACTTGTAGGCCAGCACCACCTTTATTTTCAAGAATGCTTCTGGGGTCCACAGAGGTATTCTTACAAAATAAAAATGGCGGTTGGCTACTATTCAGGCTTTATTTGGAAGTTTTCCTACCTCCTAGGAAAAAGAAAAGCCATGTTATGAAATGATCCACCACCTGCTCTCAAAATTCCATACACAATCACTAGCTTAAAATATTTGCAACCCCCTGACTTACGTTGAAGTGAGGTGCTGGATTTAAATGCTGTGTAGTCAAAATAAGGCAACTGAAGAACAAAACTGACATGCTCAGGGAAGAAAACAAGTCAATGAACTGAGAGTGCTGATTTATTAATGATGGGTGGAACATAATGGAATATACTGAATGAAACAATGGCTTTACTTCCAAGGTTCTGCATCACTGATCCTATGGAAACATTGTTTTCTTGTGTGGCATGGAAGCTATAGAAAACTATTAAAATGCATACGCTTAGCATTAAACAGCTCTGGATAACATTAATATGTATGTTGAAATGATAATCTGTGCTTACCCCCAGCATCCAAAATTCTTTTCCCCATATCATTCCTGTCAAAGAAATACTGTGATTCAGTTTGATCGATTTTTTAAAAATTACATATACAGCTATGTTTATTTGTTTATTCAATTTATAGGCTACCCAACTCCCAACAACTCTGGGTGGCTTACAATTAAAAGTAAAAAAAAGCAAAAGATAAAAAACAGATCAGAGGCAGTCTGAAGAAAACATATAAACCAAAAAACTCCACCCAACCAGGGACTCAACCACTACCCTACCCAAAAGCCTGGGAGAATAGTCTGGTCTTTAATAGCTTCCTGAATGTCATCAGGCTGGGAGCCATCCAGATCTCTGGGGGTTTAGTATTTTCAATGTATAATTCCAGGTGATGTCCAGAACTAAGAATAATCTAAGGCACAAAGCATTAATTGTTACGTTTTTCAGAATTATTTCTTAAAAGACTGCATGTATTAATCAAAATGCATTTGCATGTATTATTTTAGTTAATAATGGTTTGTTCATTGCTTTTGATTTTATAAAAAAAAAGTACAAATAAGAAATGTTTAATATGACTTAATAACCATTTGATATGCTTTAATAATCATTATTTCCAATAGAGTGTATACATTTTATTTATTATTGGATTCATATACTACAACTCCTCCCCTTCTTTTACATTTGCCACTGTCTCATGGATTGATCCATCCTTTTCAATGCTTTTAAGGTTAGGAGGGGGTGAAGTTTTAGATGGTGACTGTGCCTATATTCTTCTCTTAACCAGGACGATTTAACTATGATAGGATTTTGTTCCATAGGGGGCAAATCATTAAAATTATTTATAAGCTCTATTTCTTCAGCAAAAAAATCCCTGTCTACTACTGGATTGTGTAAATTAGTTTTATCTAGAGGGGTTACAGAAATATTCTTAAAACACTGCATATTATTTTTAATTAACAAAATTGTATGATATTTAAATCAGCTTTTCAATATCAGCTTTAAAAATGTTTAACTTTGAGCGAATTCTACTTAAACATAAATGAAATGATCTTACCATGAAATAACATTATCCTAACAAGATTTTAGGTTTCCACAAGAGACCCAAGGGTAAGACTCATATCATTATATTAAAGTTAAATGTGAATATTATATTAAAGTTAATTACATGACTTGTAGCATTTCCTTTGTAGAAATTGTTTTTTTTCTAATATCTCGAGGCATAGCAATAAGCATGGTGTTCAGTTTTCTTACTGCCTAAGGATAATAAAAAGAAGTAATTGAATATTAAGCATATTAAAAAGAAAAATTGCAATATGATAGCCCAAAACATCTTTAAATACCCACACAATGTAGTGAAGGAGATCTTAGTTTTAATTACTATGCCTCTCAAGAGTTAGTTGTGCCATATGCAGTTGTATCTACTAGCACATTACAGACAATCAATGGAGCAAAAGAGCTTTTTTGCTTGTAAGGGAAGACAAGTAAATTTTGACACCATCACAGGTGACCATCTAAACGTATCTGCTGAAAAATAAATCATGGAATCAAAACCAATGGGTTGCCACAGTCAATGTTGAGTGGGGGGTGGTATCAAGCCTAAGGTTCTTGTTCTGTGGGGTTCCTCAGGGCTCAACACTCTCACCTGTATTTAATATTTACAGGAGACTGACCTCGCTGGCAAAGTCATCCAACTGCACAGGGTCAGGTATCATCAATATGCTGATAATACCCATTTTGTACATCTTGAGCCCTGGCTTACCAAGTGATGCCATCAAGATTCTGTCGTAGTGCCTAAAGACTGTTGGGTCTGGATGGGAAGGAACAGGTTGAGGCTCAACCCTAGTAAGGCTGCGTAGTGAGGGTTCATGGATTTCCAGAGATTTTCCAGCTTTAGTTCTGAATAGCATTGCACTTTACTACATGTAACCTATGTGCAATTTGAGGGACCTCCCAGACCTGCAGCTCTTCTCAAAGAGGTAGCAGTTGTGGCTAGTAGGGCCTTTACATAGATTCATCTTCTGCAACACTTGGCCTCATTCCTGGACAGGGAGGTCCTTCTCACTATCACTGTCACTTAGCCACCTATTTGGACTACTGCAGCACACTTTAGATGGGACTGCCCTCAAAGACCACCCAGAAGCTACAGCCAGTACAGAATGCGGCAGCACAAATAGTTATGGACACACCTGGTACGCCCATGTGACAACTCTATTTTGCAAGTTGCACTGGTTGCCAGTTGGTTTCCAGGTGTAATTCAAGGTGCTGAAAGTATCTATAGAACCCTTTGTGGCTTAGGGCCTAGATATTTGCAAGGCCATCTTTCTTTGATTGTTTCTGTACACTGTAAGATCACACAAGGTCAATGTGCTCTGAGTCTCAATCAACTAACAATGACATCTTATGGGACCCAGTAGGCATACCATCTCTGTTGTCATGCCCGCACTCTGAGACAGCATTTCTTCTGATGTACATACAGACCCAACTCTGCTATCATTCAGAAGGCCGTAAAAACTAGCTCTTCCAGGGCAATATTTGTGAACTTGTCGCAGTGCCATATGTGTTTTTTTTTTGTTTCTTCCTTATTATGATCTGCTTTTAAATTCTTTATCACCTTGAATTGCTTTGCAATTGGGCAGCCTTAGATATTGGACAAATGAATACATGTATATAATGCAACAGCATTAAAATACAAATAGTTTCAAATGATGTACTACAAGCTATTCGGAAAGATGAGTATCTAAACACAAGAAGTTATAGAAGGGAAGAAATAGGTAAATAACGTACATTGTTGAATGCATGTGTCTGTATGGTTAATTTAAATTATTACATTAGGGTTTTGCAATAAATAGGTAGATTTCCTCTTTTCCTAATATTTAGAAATAAAGCATGAGAATTAGATATATGTAACTAATATCCCATGCAAATATCTGAAATACAGAAAATGAATATTTCAACTAAAACACAGCAAGATACCTGATTTGAAGTTTAAAAAGCTAAGAAAGATGATATTAAAAAGAATTCTTACCTCCTGCTGAATATAAATACTAATTCTCTTATTAGCAGCAAGAGCACTTGTTCTCAATATGAAATTTTCAAGTGTCTGAATTTTACCTAGATAAAAACATAAGACATTATTTACAGAATCATATAATTAAACCTCAAAGACATTCACATGTAAATGAATATTCAAGACAAAACAGTTTTACTTAAAATATAAAGAATTTTGTCAATACTGGTTGTCTGATGTTTCACAAAACAAGTTAAGTTTATACAAATTGAAATAATCAAAGTATTGACAAGCTCTTTAGAAGAGATATTGCAACTATGTGGTAGCTTGTTTAAATCCTAAATCAATGGCATTCATTAAATTACATTTTTTCCATTCCAGTTTATACCTAAGATCAAAGCTATTTTTCCCTCAAAAATCTCTCAATGAAGTGAAACTTGAAAATTACAGGTTCACAAATGTATAAACTTCAAAGCAGCCTTCCCCACCTGACATTCTCCGCATGTTTTGGAACTAAACTAAAATTCCCAGAATTCTCAGCCAGCACAGCCAAAAGCTCTCATCTCAGTCTGAAATATTCAGTTCTTGGATATTGAGATGACTGAGAAAGTGGTGGCTTTGCAGCTCCAGATGCATGTGGATAAAACTGATTGTCTGGACCCATTCCAAATGGGGTTTCATCTGGGAGAATGTTTTGGTTGCCTTGGTGAGGGGCTTATGCTGGAAACATAACAGATAGGGAAATATGACCCTGCTAGTTTTCTTCTACCTTTCACCAGCTTCTGCTGGGCTTCTCCCAGAAAGCTGGTCTGAAACAGATGAACAGTACTCAAGAACTTAAGAACTTCTGATAAGGTTTATTGTAGAAAAGCTAAAGAAGCCTTTATGAAAGAATTTTAGCAACTGCTATGTATTACATGCAAGACTTCCTTATATGAAAATCAAGGTTCAAATTCTTGTGCCTTCTTTCTCCCACCCTCACAATGTAACAGGCCAATGTATCCCTTTTTGGGTGGAAGGGATGGTCTCCACCTGCTTTTTGTTTTGGCAACAGACTGACCAAGCTGTTTGCTTGTGACCTCTGAGACCTGGCTCTCATGCTGGTAACCATGGTATCCTTCTGGACCTTAAAGACACTATTTCACAGTGGTTCCAGTTTTTCTTGTCAGGACACATCTAGAAAGTGGTACTGGGTAGCTACTGTTCAACTCTTAGGTTGCTGACCTACAGTGTTCTGCAGGGTCTTCCTGGTCCCCTGTGCTGTTACCATCTACACAAAACTGCTCAGGTGGGTATCCAGAACTTTTGAATAAGATGCTACCACTGTGTACTCATGTCTACAGTTCTGTACAACCTAATTCTAATGAAGGGAATCTATACCTTGAACACTGTGTAATCTCAAGACAGTAAACCCTCATTCAGATACAAAAAAAAAAAAAAAGTCCTTCAGACATCACTTGCAATTAACAGTCTGCTGTTTCTGATGTAGTCCAGGCAGCACTCACTTCTCTGTGCTATGCTGTCCAGACAGTTATTGGTTTTGTGCATGCATTAGTTATACTGGCCTTTTTGCACACTGCCCTGGGGAACAATGGGGAAGAGAAAGATGGAGAGATCTAAGTCCTGCACTGTTGTCTCCCTTCTTTCTCTTGAATGCAGTAGAGGGAGAGGAGACCCCGAACCAAGTGTTCTTTTCACATCTCCTCAGTGTTCATGTGCTCTCTTCCTTCTCTGCCACTTTCCAAAGCCAACTTCTCATTTCACGCCAGTCACCACAGGGACCCTCAGATGCTTCTTCCTATTTCTTTGCCTCCTGCCTTTATCATCCCTTTCTTACTTTATCTTGCAGCGCCCAGGTCTCACCCAAACGTATTTTGTTTGGGTAGCCTCTCCATGCATTCTGCAGTGAGTGAGGAGGGCATCATTCCTCTCCATCACCCTCTCGAGCAAGCAAGAAAATAACTATCTTCTCTCTTTCTCCCTGCGCCATATTTTCCCCTCTTGTTCTACTTTCAGATTTCATGGATATTAAATTTTAATGGATGCCCATTCCTCCTCCTGACAAAGAAATCAAGGTTTCTTTGTAATGGGTTAAATAAGGGAGAACAAGCTGAAATGAAATCTGGTAAGACAAAGGTCAAGTAAGGAGAAATTGGACTTAATTGGGACCGAAGTGAAGGCTCTTTTGGATGGAGTTGTACCTCCCACAAAAAAGCAAATTCACAGTTTGGAAGTGCTCATTGACCCACGGCTGTGGTGAGGACCACATCTGCCCAACTATGGCTAGTGCACTGTGACTCTTCCAGAGCTGGTTGGACTTTTGTTGTTCTGTTGTGATAATTACCCATGCCTTTGTTACAACCCATCTTAAATACTGCAACATCTTTACATGGGGATACCCCTGAAAAATGTGTGGAAATTTACAATGGTAACAAAATGTATCAAGTATTTGCTAACTAGTGCCTGTACCAATTACTACCAATTGCCAATTCCCATGCACAATTTAAGGTGCAAATTTTGACTTTTAAAGCCTGACAGTTTAGAGCCTGATTATCTGCTGGACCATCTCACAAACATTAATTTTATTTATTAATTTATTTATCAAATTTGTCACCACCCATCTCGTTGAAATGACTCTGGGAGGTTTACAGCAAAACTAAAATTTGTTAAAATACAATATGTATAAAACAGACCTAATAATAAATAGCTTCTAAGCAAGATGGAAAGTTGGGAGCGTCGTTAGGGTGCCAACCACCCCCAAGGACAGTTAGGGCCCATATTGCCCCATGTCCACTGGCAGAGCCAGGTCTTTAAACCTTTTCAGAAAGCCGGGAAGGTAGGGGCCCATCGCACCTCTGGGGGGTGAATATTCCAAAGGGTGGGGGGTATGGCAGATTATATTTATTATATTTTATATGTTGTATTTTTAATTGTTGTGAGCCACCTTGAGGGTTTAAATAAAAAGAAAGTCAATGCATAAATTTAATAATAAAGAAATTAATACAAGAGAGTTGCAATTCCAGCATATCTGGAGGAACTAGCTTGAGCAAGGCTGCTGTACAGATTTTCTAAAATATTGTAACTTAGGCTATTTGACAGTAATAAGAAAAATATATTTAAAGTGCTATTAAAATATTGTGTCATAATTTATTTTCAGACATACCTTCACTGCTGGTATCATGTACTATCTACAATTAAAATAAACAATATATTAAAATTAATCTGC